CGGTGGCAAAACGATTATAGTTTCCCCGTATATGCGGTTGAAACCCGAAATCAAATGTACCTCTTGGGCACCTCTGACGACTGCCTTTCCTCTTCACGCAAGGCATGCCAACCGCTGGGTGGGTGGTCGGTATGGGCAACAACAGGTGACTCCTCGTGGTCTTGGAGCGATGCACGCCACTCCTTCGAACGCAAAACCGCGAAGGGGGCTGTAGCCCTGATGGTACCTCTAACAACAGCCTCCTTTGGCCACCTACCAACACCGGGCGCGGACTCCCCAGCGAGCGGGATAACATCTGCACTAGCAATAACGGAAGCAATCAAGCGGCAGGCTCGGAACGTTGAGGTGTCTGTTTTTTTTCTTGTTGGTGAATACACTGGCAGCATTGGCAGTTCACGTTTTATTCAGGACGCATCTTCGACTCTTGCATGTGAGGTGTTTGGTGTGGAATCATGTCTAAAGCTAGCATACAAATCTAATCTGAACTTTACGTCCGTAAACTTCTCGAACTTTGACGCTATTGTGGCTCTTGATCAGCTATCCTATTCTGATTCACCACTTTATTTTCATGTTGATCAGAGGATCGACCAAGCATCGAACATTGCACTTAAGTCTGCAAAAAAACTTCTCTGCAACATGCAAATTCAGAAATCGAAAACAAATTTCCTTTATTCCTCCCCTGCCACCACTTATATCGATTTTCTCGAGGCGAACAATCTTCTTTCAGGAGTGAACAAAACCATCGTTACTTTTTCTCGCTACGACGAATTTTATAACAATCCTCATGTGTTTACGCCTTCCGATACGCCATCGACAAATAGGCAACTGAATGTGGAAAGCATTATTGAGGCGTCCAATGTCGTCCTCCGAATGATACTGAGCAGTGATGCAGAGGTCAAGGTTGACAATGACCTGCTTCAGAAGCTATGGTATTGTTTTTCTGTAAATTTCAGCTGTGATTTTTTAAATGTTTCCCTGAACTTGTCGTCTTCTACACCGTCTTATGCGACCAATAAGTTTGAGGAATCCTACAGTGACGTGACTGTGATGGTCGGTACAGCACTTTCAAAAATAGGAATGCGCCCCGCCTACACCGCCGCTATTTCACCGCAGCTTAAAATCGGTGAAAAATGGGGACCACCGTGGGAGCGGAGTGAGCGTGTAGACTATTTCAATAGTTCACGATATACCCTTTTTGTGAGTAGCTTATTTAACAAGGGCAACGGTGCGCGAACCGTAATGCTGACAACAGCTTCCGTTGGTACTTTTACATTATTTACTGGAACCTTTTTGTGCGGTCTTCTGTTGTTTGCAGCGTTTCATTTGTAATTTTCTTGTATTGCTATTATTAATATTTCGGAAAAGCCCGTAGTACTCTATGAAGAATAGGTCAATACTTACATAGATGCTGCTGATTGAATCAATAGCTCTCATGAGTCATGAGCCATAAGAACTGAGAGTGTTGTTATGCTTTTCACTATCTTTTTCTCTCGATCTATCTATATAATATTCGAAATTTTAAATTTTAATTTTATGTTTTTCGCAAGCAAATCGTTGATATCACAGCACTTCTCATCGTAACATCAACCTTTATCAAAATTGATGTACCAAACCGCAGAGTGTAGGACAGGCGGGAACTTGACTTTTACGCCAAGCGAAGGCAATAAATTTGGTTTTAAACCAGGCCAAATAGTTCATTTTACGAAAAGCCTTCGCAATGGGAAGGTGGCCCTTATCCGTGGTGTGTGCGACGGCCTCTTATGGTTTTCCGTCTTCCCATCCGTAGATGAGGCCGCAAAAGAGGAGGCCCTCAGAGCTCCCGTCGATTCTTCTAGCTGTCGAGGGTACGAAGAGTTTATTCGCCAATACGGGTGGGTCATAGACGACAGAAAAAATGAGTTTTTGTATCAAGACGCCTAGTAAAGATAAGCCCTAAAGGGTTAGTATACTGTTCTTACTGTAACTACTACGTGTCTTTCAAATGAAAAATGAGTACATTTGTTTTAGCAAATAATAAGGTATTTTATTTGAACTACAAAGGTGTCGAAAATCGTGTGTGAGTAATTTCATTTTATTTTCGTGTCCCTTGCAAGCTGCTGCTTAATTCTTACGTGCCCTCAGCTTTTTTATTTTTAAAGATTTCCTCTTCCTTTCAAACATATAGAAATCTGTTCCCCTATTTTCTTTCTTATCTGCAACTTTAAGGGAGGGGTAGTCGTGTTAGTCATTTCTAGTGAAAACAGTAGCATGCTGCAACGAAACCTATGGGCACGGTACTACTGGTCTCGGTATCGCTTCCCGACACAGATGCCTAAATTTGATGGACCTCCGCCTATGGATGCGCCTCAAAACATGAACAATACAAAGACCAACGAGTTCATAGACCCCATCGATGATAAGTTTCCCGTGAGCATACGCGGTAATTTGATGCGCCCTGATGTGCCTGAGGAACAGTATGTCGATAGTTGGTATGTGTGCACTTCCATGACGCATCATTTAGGAGATTTCCGCCCTTGGAGTGCTAGTGCACCCGCAAATGCCTATCGTTTCCGTCCATTTAATGAGTTCGATTCTAAAGGGAGAGAATACGTCAAGAAACTACGGGAATTTTCTCACTACGACCCCAAGAAATCCAGAGGAAAGGGGCAGAGGTATTTCCCATTCCGTGATGCCTACTTGACCTTGATGGCCAGCGGCAGCAATCCCACATTGCCCCCGAGTCTGGAAACCATCATGGACCGTGCAATCATTGAGAAGCATCAACACGGAAAAGTCTTGACTCCCTTGATGCAGCAATGGGATGTAGGACGGTTGAGGGAGCCACCATCTTGCGCAGGAAAAATACCGGTCGACAATTCCGTGTTTCCCTTTCGTTGGAACACCGAGGACTGGTACGAGTATGAAGTTGCAAAGGTACGAAATAAACGTTTTATTTTTGAAAATAGTGATGAGAATGGCATCGAGGGATCCGAGGTAACGTACCGAATCGTTTTGGAGGGTTTCTGGGACCATCACGTAGCAAAGCTGTCGGAGGATGTTTGCGCATTTTTGAGGGATGTTGGCCGGCAAATTGTCGAAGAGAAACTCAAAGTGGTTCGAAAAATACTTGAAAGTACTGAAAGTGGCGGTGTTGATTCTGAGATCATAGAGTGCTTCAATCTTTCTCTCAAAGGTCCTTTCGGGGGCAGAGATTATTATGAGAAAGAAGAGGTCGCTAACTTTGTTCGAGCTGACTTGCAACGACTCGAGGAGCAGTGTGTCGGAGTTATAAACCGTTGTAATGCCCCTATAGCTGGGTTTTCCAATCTGTACGATTCTCAGGTCTCCTGGCCTTACGTGGAACACCTGGAGCCCTGGGTGCGTATGGCGGAATTCTGGACTTCCTCGTCAGACACTTCTTTCACGGAAATGGAAATGTCGACAGCTCATTACGAGTTCCGAAAGTACTTTCGTGTGATTGTGGTGAAAATGCCTTTCCAGAGCTCCGAGTTTGAGCAGCGCATCTATGGTATTCGACACTGGCTTCATCGGCAGACTTCGTGTGAATTTCACACAACATACCGTCGCAATGTTGTACACGACGCTTCCGTGTTCCCCACGGAGCACGACCCTTGCGTTCCGACTACTCACGAGTACCATCGTATGTTCTCTTTTGCTCTAGACTGGCAGAGAGCTCCGGTAGGTTTTCTATCGGTCGAGGCGGTTCAAAAAGGGGACACGTGGGAATCTGTAGCTGAGCGTATCGGATGCAGTGCAGAAGAGCTTCGAGAGTCCAACAATGGCCTCGAGGACCTTGTTGAGGGTATTTCCCTCACTATTCCAGGCGGCGCAAGCAGGCGACTACCTAGTTTTGGTGCTGTTCCTCAAGTGTTGCCCCTCACGAGGGAGGATGGCAACGCCCGTATTCGGACATGGGAGGAAGCGGCAGCGCTGCTCGATTGCGGTGTGGAGGACCTCCAGCAAGCTAACGGGCATGCGGCACTCACGTATCGGGTGGACGGCGATAAGCCCGGTTTTGATGAATCAATTCAGGAATTAAACGTTCCTTATACCACGTGGGCTTCCTCACGAGAGCAGGAGTTCTCTACGGCTGAAAAAGTTTTCCAAAATGACTCATGGGAGTCCGTGGCGCAACGACTTCAGTGCACGGTTTCTGACCTGCGGACAGCGAATGCAAACGTCGGTGATTTATCAATGGTAGAGAAGGTTGTCGTGCCACCGAGCGCGCGAGCCCCGCGTCGAATGGTAAACCCGCAGTTACGCACACAGGCCGCGACAGACGCCCTCCTTGCCAAGGTCACTGGTGAACAAGGTAAGTTTAATTTAGAATCATTGCCACACCTTCCAGAAAACGCCTCCAATTTCCCACATGAGTATCACACGGCCACGTCGCGATTCCCTGCCACACCTCTCGAATCTGCCGGCACCGAGGATTGGTTGGCCTACACGGCCAAGTACCTTGATAAGGACCTCACCCTGCGTCAAGAGCCAACACCAGTCTACAACGTTAACAAGCTGTGGCCGATGCAGCAAGTTCCCGGAAAACTGGACCAGACCCCATTCGAGGAGGACCAGACATGGTTTATGCACCCTATTCCTGTGCAGCAGATGGAGCAGCATCATCCCGAGAAGGACTTGCAGGATTTGCCATTTGTCAATCATGAGCAGTTCCCACGCTCGATTCAGTGGACAGCACCATAACATTTTGTACAGATAGGCATAGGGTAAGAAGAGAGTCTAGGGCGATGGAAATACATGTGCAAAGAAAGTACTTATTCATTAGAATTCGGCTAGTAGTAATGTTCCTTTTAGTGATTTGAAAAGTGAAGCACACCATCAGGCTATCATTCTCTATTGTCCTAAATGTTTACTCCATGCCTTTAGTTTTAGGCATCACTTCGCGAAAAATTCTGCACCCAGTAGTCATCCTCTGTTACGTATGATTTGTTTCGTCGCTACATGTTTCTTTTTTCTGTTTTTGAGTTTCCTAGGAATAAATCTTCTAGAAAGTATATTTGGAGTAGTTTCATAAGCAGTTCAAATACGCACTTCTTACGGAAGATAAACCGTAGGCAAGATTAGCTAGTGCGCTATGTCAGCTGAGGCTGCACACATCCTCAAAAAGAAGGAGGGAATTTTATCCTTAGAAAAGTTTTTGGACCGAAAGGTTGTAGCCATTTTAGATGAAAAAGAAGAGGTTCACGGGATTCTCAAAGGATTTGATAACAACATTAACCTAGTACTTGCGGATGCAGAGCTGTGGGGGAAAAATCGGATTATGCGCAAAATAGGGGCCTGCGTGATGCGTGGAGGACATATTGCATCGATTTCTTCGGGTGATATGGTTATCTTGGCGTCTTCTCCATTTTAACATGCACGTTCTCATTTCCACGAATGACTAATATCAATAAGAATACTTCCTTTCAGTTTTCATTCAATTAATTCCTTGTTGATCTTATGTCTTTTAAATTCACTGAAGCGGCGGTGCGCAATGAAAGTGAAAGTAACTATTACACTTAGAATAAACAGCTAACCTTTGCTATTATGTTTTTGATATTCCGTAAATCAAATTATTTCAATATTTTTTCCCATTTTTATTTCCGTTTTCTCAAGGGCACGACACTATTTTCCTTTGTTCTTTTTTTTCGACAAGGCAATTTAACTTTCTCACGATCCGCAGCCTTCTCTGGGCGTGCTCTTGTTTGAGGACGCGCTCTCTATGGAAACGCGTCAGAATCAGTGCTTAAAACTTACACACTCAAATACAGTTTTTTGTTTCTCTAAACATGAACCTGGATTATATTGGTAAGTATCGGCTGGGTCAAAAGATAGGAACCGGTAATTTTTCATGTGTTCGGAAAGCGACCGACCCAACTGGCCGTGTCTGGGCTATTAAAATTATAGACAAGGGCCTCATCAAGGAGGAGTTTATGGAGGAACAAATGCTACGTGAAATAGCTGTGATGAGAAAACTAAGACATCGAAACATAATGAAGCTGCACGATGTGTTGGAAACACATCATCACTACTTTCTTGTTTTAGAACACGTTTCGGGAGGTGAGTTGTTCGATAAGATAGTTGGAGCAAAGCGTCTCGACGAACCAACCGCTCGGAAGTACTTTCACCAGCTTATTGCTGGGATGTACTACTGCCACTCCTATGGATTCGCGCATCGCGATCTGAAACCTGAAAACCTCCTGCTAGGCGAAAACGACACTTTGAAGATCTCCGACTTTGGACTTTGCAACATGCAGCAGAGTGTTTTACTGCAAACTGTTTGTGGTACACCCAACTATGTAGCCCCTGAAGTGCTTATGGAGCGCGGCTATAACGGCCTGTCGGCCGACATCTGGAGCTGCGGTGTCATTCTGTACGTCATGCTGTCAGGGAGGCTGCCTTTTGAAAGCAAGAATATGAAGTTACTGATGGCAAAGATTGAGTACGGTGAGTATCAGATGCCAAAGTATTTATCGCGAAGCTGCATGGATTTGATAAGAAGGATCCTAGTAGTAGACCCCCTAAAGCGAATATCAATGGAGGGAATTATCAAACATCCTTGGTTTCAGATTGGTTGGAATATTAAGATGATGTAATTGGAACATTTTTATTTTAATGGATTTCTTGGATTTACTTCTTCATAGTATTACCTTAGACGTTGCATAAATATACGCATGAAAATCAAGGCTAACATTGTTTCATTTTCTTTTTTTTTGAATTATCTATAATTTTTAATTATATGCAGTATATATATATATATATTTATTTATGTAAAGGTTATTCTTACTGTCTATCCAATTAGAGCATGCAAAATTTTACCATAAGACGTGTTTCATCCTGGCTTATTTCTTTTCTAACAAAGTAGTTTTGTGAATTTGTGGTATTTATTACTTGATTGGGAGTTTTTTTTTGAATTTATCTAAAAATTACAATTTTTTGTGAAGCTGTTTTTTTTTTTTTGGAGACCAATGCTGGAAAATAGGCCAACAATATTTACTAATGTGCATTTAATAAAATTGCCCCGTGTTGTGGAGCATGCTATCGGGCCTCAATTAACCGGTTTTATTTTCTAAGGTATGGATACGATTTGATCTACGGGGTCATATCTAGGCTACGCAATTTTTTGACCAAAAGTGCCTCAGAAAGAACGAGGTAAAATACCAAAAAATTAAGGGAAACAGTGGCTTAAAAGATGGAACAGCATCGAGCTACGGTGCCGATGCACAATATAGTGATATCCAATTTTTTTTCACTTTAGAGCTTGTTGTGTGGAGAATGAGGAGCCGGGGAGAGCTTTTTTAAATACTGAATCCAACCCGGCTAAGGACTTGATCAAGACACTGCACAGCGGTACTTCCAACGGCTTACTACCGGTGTTAGCTATTGCCATCCATGCAAGTGTACTTTCTAGAAACAGATTGTGGTGTGTGAACTTCTTGAGGAAAACGATATCCTAAAGATTACGGATTTTGATTTAGGCAACGGGAAGCGAGAATTCTTACCTTTAAACGGCTAATAACGATCCGTACTATGTGGTATTGAAGTGCTGAGAGTGTACAGTTGCAATAGGTCTGCAGTCAATGTCCGGATCTGTGTGTCATTCTACGTGCAATGTTGGGCGGGATGTTGGCCCTTTAAGATTAAAATGTTACTGAATGCCTGAGCATGGTAAAATTGGAGAGGTTTCATTCTGGAAATATTCTTGACAATGGTGCAGGGGATTGGATACTTTGTTGGTTTGCTGGTAATTTTAACAATCATTTTACATTTACCTAAATTTTACTCTATTATGATTTAGGATCAACTGGAATCCACGAATGGCAGCAATAGAATTTTAAATAGTTCTTGAATATACATAAGTACACATGTTTTCATGTGTGCTCATAAATAACCTTTGAGTTTTTTCGACTTCGCTAACACGATTAACATCACAAGGCCAAAGTAGGAATCCAAAATTGTGAAGAAAATTTATTGTGCAGTTGTCGATTTACTTATGTTTATTTTTTGTGTATATATATTTTTTACTTTGTTTTTAAACAACCTTATGTAGGTGAATTTAAAATGCTGTCATCAATTTTTTTCCGAGCTATCTTGTTTCCCTCAAAAGCCAAGGCTTTTAGTGGCTCTGAATTCTTTCATTATCACTTTGCTTGTTTTTCTACCACTTCATTACTTCTTATCCTGTTGCATATTTATTAAACTGAGAGTGGATATAGAGAAGTATATTTTTAGTTTCTAAAATGGAGGATGTTTATGTGGGTGAATACAAGATTGGTAGCTTATTAGGAACCGGAAACTTTTCAAAGGTTCGAAAGGCAACGGACAGTCAGGGCCGTTTATGGGCTATCAAAATTATCAACAAGTCTCGCTTAAAAATGGAGAACATGGAGGATCAAATGCTGCGTGAAGTTGCCATTATGCGAAACATGCGGCACCGAAATATTGTAAAGCTCAAGGATGTTCTTCAATCAAACAATCATTACTTCATTGTCTTAGAACACGTTTCGGGAGGTGAGTTGTTCGATAAGATTGTCGCAGCAAAGCGCTTTGACGAACCAACCGCTCGGAAGTACTTTCACCAGCTTATTGCTGGGATGTACTACTGCCACTCCTATGGATTCGCGCATCGCGATCTGAAACCTGAAAACCTCCTGCTAGGCGAAAACGACACTTTGAAGATCTCCGACTTTGGATTGAGTAACTTGCAACAAGATGTTTTACTGCAAACTGTTTGTGGTACACCCAACTATGTAGCCCCTGAAGTGCTTATGGAGCGCGGCTATAACGGCCTGTCTGCCGACATCTGGAGCTGCGGTGTCATTCTGTACGTCATGCTGGCAGGGAGGCTGCCTTTTGAAAGCAAGAATATGAACTCGCTCTTGGCAAAGATTGAGCATGGTGAGTACCAGGTAATCAAACATATTTCGAATGAGGCAAGGGACTTGATTGCGCGCATGATGATGGTAGATCCTCGAAAGCGCATATCTATAGAGGATGTGATTAAGCATCCTTGGTTTCAGGTCGATTGGAATCCGCAGTTCCTCGAGAGCGAAGATGACTAACGCGCACAAAACAAAGGTAGATATTCAAAGTAAAAAATGCATACTTTTTTTTTTCTGCTTCACGTCTTATCGAGCAGATATTGGTAAGAGTGTTCTGTGATCATACAAACAGTCAAGAGCCCAAACGTTGACGATTGTCATTTCGTTATGTTCTTTATTTTTTTCTATCGGGTATTATCTCCCGACGTGTTTTTATGTAAGCTTATGTATCAAGGAAGAAATAAATTTTATTGAAAGTATGGGATTTTTTCTCTTTTTTTTTTCTAGAATAGTGAAGGAGTGGAGCAGTAATAAATTTTTATCACATTTTATATTGTCGAATTGCATAGATATTGTGTTAGTTCTGTAAATGGAGCACACACCTAGGCAAAACACATCTGCATTTTCTCATAGTACATTTTTTTTTTAAATGCACTGAATTCTAAAGATCCTTTTTAGCCTGCAACTCTTCAATCTTATGCTTCTTAAATATTGTCTGTCGCATCGTTTGATTTGTCGTCATAGGCTTAATATGGATAACTGCTGTGTGCATTGTGGAATTTGTTCCTTTTTTGCTTTAACTGTTATACACTGTCTTACTTTTGCTACCTCCCGAACTCTTTAGTTAACTTTTTTTTTCGTCACACAAAAATGAAAGCAGCAATGACTTGAGCGAAACTTGACGACTTAAAATATATAGAGAGACTCGTTAGCAAGTGCCTCTTCAGAGTTGCATTTTACTTCTCTCGATGGAATGAACTTTTTTTGTGATTCGGTACCTTTCTTGCCTGCACCCATTTGTGATGCGTGAAACCGACACTTTACATCGGAAGAACAACTCAGAGGCGGTCTTCCTGTCTAGACACATTCGGGGTGATTTTGTTTATTTATCCTGTTGTGGACCGTCTGAGCATTACCCCAGTCACTTTACACTCTGAGACAGCGTCGCCGGTCCCCAGTCAGGCTGGCGTGCGTGGATCGCTGGGCATGATGGGGGATGAAGTTGCCGGAGAGCGTGCCACGACGCGTGGGTCTGCGACACCTGCGTATCGACTGGCGTTGGCTAATAAGAGGGACGGATGGTGGTTTCTTCAAAACGTGCTCCGTATGGCAGACACGTGCTTTGAGCGCTTTCTGAGTACACCACGCGCAGGTTACAAAAGGGTGAAGGGGCCCTAGTCAGGGGCCCGGAACACACCCGGGTTAGTTAATGAGAGGAAATGTAATTGTCCAGCTCACAAGTTACGGAAACCACGGAGACCAAGTGGTTTGGTCTATCAGGGAAAGTTGCACAGGCCACACCTTGTCATCTTTCTCCCTAGGAACCAAGCCTCTGCTCAGAACCCCTTGGCGAGGTGTGCACAACTGTGACCTCATGTGGGAGGAATCTAATAATCGATGGAATTCGGAACCGTGAGATTACGAAAAAATTGAGATCCCATGTCTAATGTATGACATATGAATCTTTTTTTTTCCGAGAATGTACTATGATTGCTATTCTCATTCCATTTCGCTTCTTTCGATTTATTCATATTCGTCTAGACGTGGAGATAACTCATATTGGTTTGATTTATTCACCGATATTAAAATTTGCCTATCGAAAAGGTACACCAAGAAGAAATTTAAGACAATGGCATTACTACCACTCCGCGTGCGAAGGGAATCAGTCAACAAGCCTTTTAAGGGCCGTCTGCGGCGGTCGCTTTTCGTTGGGGTTATCGGAGTGCTTTTAATACTTCTTTGGCTATACTACGCTGGCGATTCGAGGCGGATCCCATTTACACCATCCGTGCTTCCTCCTGGTGGTACGCAGGATATGTTCCTCCGTTCCACAGGGACTCGCGTGGTTGTTTTCGTTATGAGTGATAAAATAGATGATGCCCTTTGCTATTCTGCGGGCTCAGCTTACTTAAACGGACTGCCCGTGGTGGTGGCCGGCTATCGGATGAAGTATCGTGGGTTTCTGTCCAAATTTGAATTCATGGAAAGGGCCATCGAGAATGCGGAGTTGCAGCCAGAGGATGTGGTCATTGTAGTGGATTCAGACACGATCTTCACGGGTGCGGACCTTAATCCGTTCCTGGATCGCTTCATTGCGCGGTCCGCTCCCACGCCTAAGCTGCGATGTGTGTGCGTCTGGAAACGGGGATGAGTTTAGGAAACGGGAACGGGTTAGGGAACGGGTTAGGGTTAGGGTTAGGGTTAGGGTTAGGGTTAGGGTTAGGGTTAGGGTTAGGGTTAGGGTTAGGGTTAGGGTTAGGGTTAGGGTTAGGGTTAGGGTTAGGGTTAGGGTTAGGGTTAGGGTTAGGGTTAGGGTTAGGGTTA